TCGACATCGGATGCAGATCTAATTGCTGCGTTGAACAATGCTTCAACTCAACTCAATCGTTACTTTGGAATTTTCATCATTATTTTTGGTATTGTCGGCAATACCATCAATACATGCGTTTTATCACAACGACCTCTTCGTTCAAATCCTTGTGCATGGCTCTTTCTTACTTCATCGATTGCAAATGGTATTGGTATTCTTTCAGGTCTTATTTCCCGAATATTATCAACTTGGTCTGCTGATCTAACAAATACAAATCAATTTCTTTGCAAATTTCGTGCTTTTCTCGTATTCAATGCAATCACTATTGGCTCTTGGCTTATCATGTTGGCAACAGTTGATCGATGGCTTTCATCGAACATTGATGCTAATAAACGACGAAGAAGTACATTAAAGAATGCTCAAATCGGTGCAATTGTGATTGTCATCGTTTCAACTCTTATTGAAGCACAACATCTCTATTGCTACGAAGCTAATCTTACTAATACTCCACTCAAATGTTATGCGAAATCAGTGTGGTGTGGCATTATATCAGATCTATCCCTTGCCATACTTACAATCCTATTACCATTACTATTGATGATTATCTTTGGTTGGATGACCATCTCGAATATAGGTAAATCACGATCTCGTTTGCAACCGACAAATAGAACAGTCGAAGCTAATACCGGCTACAGCACAGCGACGAACAACCCTGCACATTTGACTCAACGAAGAAAAACAGATCGTCATCTTTTGATCATGCTATTGGTTCAAGTTTCTCTTATCTTTCTATTTACTTTCCCACTTGCTGTGAATAAACTCTATTCAACCACAACTCAATCTGTGGCCAAGTCACCACTGAGAAAGACTATTGAAAGTTTTGCCTTCAACATACTTCTTCTTTTTTACATCGTGGCTTGTGGACTGCCATTCTATATTTATACGTTAAGCGGAGGAAGTCTGTTTCGTGAAGCTCTGCTCAGTTTTCTGAAAACATTAGGCCGAAAGATGATGTGTCGATGTGGCTAATTTTCTTTTTGAATCAAATAAACTTAACTTTAATTTAATATATAGTTGTAATGCTTTATCAATAAAAAATCGATGAAAAATTAAAACTTCTATCGAATGTATGATTATTTCTAGTGAAAGATCATGAATAATTCTAGGAAGACATAGAAGCTTTTAAATGTATTGCCAAAGAAAAGCAAGCAAAAGTAGAAGAGAACAAAGTACAAAAGGTCAGACACCAATATTCTTATTAATTGACAGGATTTCAAGAAAAGACAAACAATAATTTGATGATTACAAGAGACAACAGAAACAGACTTTTAGGTCAAAGAGTCGAGTGGCAGTGAAAGAACACTTGTAGACTCAAATGACCATAGTGTACGTATAGTAATGACGTAGCGACTAGGTATACATCCAGCATTATCAATGATGAATCATATTGGACGAGATAACATGAGTCTTGCTGTCATCAGGCAAGGAAGCACGTGAATCGAGAGAGCAAATATCAAGAGCAAAACAGGAGGTGTGGATGAATCACACATTTATCTGAGCTATAAGTTTGGAGTGCGCTCAATCAAGCTAGACTCTTCTGTAGGGTATCGCGATTTATGAGTTGAGGATTCCCATGCATGATAAGGGTGTTGGTATTGAAAGAACATGACTGTAGCTGATCTGGGTGAAGAGAATACTATCACTGTCATCCTCATCGGCATCCGGTGCCCACTGTTAACATCATTACGTTCTCATCCCACCTCTAAACTCACCATAGGCCAAGGGCCTAATTTCGGCTGTAGATATTCTTCCTCGGTTAGCTTCACTTGCCTTTAATTCAGTACGACGAGAACAAAACATCCTCATTCAACTATTGAATAAGATTCGGAACAACAATTTTGTTTTGATTTTTGAAGTTGCTTGGTCGGTGGATGTGGGTAAGGATGACGGTATTTTCTTAATACAGATTCCTGTCGCTCGAACTTACCATTGCCCCGCATCCACATCCTTACTCTTAGACTCAACACAACCTGCTAAACAATTCGTAGAAGGCAGTCAATATGTTATTCTTGTTAGTGACTGTTTAGATTTTCATGGAAAATGCTTTGAGATATTCGAGCACGGTAATACGGCAGAATTAGGACTAATGTACCATAAATGTCTAGATAGATATTGCATTTTTCATATCTAAAACCAAAAGTGACATTAGAAAATCGAAATTTGTTTTGCTGAAAAACTTGATTAATATCGATTTCAATTGATAATGATTTGATTTTCCGTGAAAACTTTTTGTGCAGGCAACAACATCTAGCAGAAGGTTTAAGGACCTGCCTCAGAAAAGTCAACTTTCCGAGAAAAATTCGATTTCAAGATGTCTATATACGTATGAGTTCTTTTGCAAGATTCCCTAGCTGGGAAATATGAGCCTGCATTGTATGGAAACTTTTGTAGCATTATAGCATGAAAGTTAATTTCATATAGGTCTTGGTGACGCTGAATTGATTGTACATATATGGGGTGTGAATGTATGCGTGTGGGTGTGGTTGTGGGATGTAGATAGAATAGAGGCCTCGCATTCACTCAAACCCACATCTACATATACGGAACCATGACCACAACTTCAGCATGATATGTACTTCTAAGAGCAATATGAGATATCTACATATACACCATCTAATAAAGCGTAATATATACTGCGAAAATATAAGGTAACATAAGTAGGATTGTTTCGAATAAAGACACTTACTAAATCAAAAACAGTGTTTTTCGTTTTTTCCAAATCGGTTTCTTTGGGTATACCGTTTACAGGGGCAAGGATTTTTTAAAAACGACTAAATATAAAAGTGGTTATTTTTTATCACACAGCAGAGAATCAGACCTAGGTCGTAATAGAGTCTGATTTTTGAATTTCTCTTTTCCTGAAGTGAAAAACTTGGATCTTCGATTTTAATTAGCAACTTTTTTTGGACACGAATTTGAGAGCCTGTCGAAAAAGATTTTTTAAAAACCAAAGAAAAGAAAATTAATAAATCAATCTCTTTTACGATCTGGCTCTCAGTGTATTCACTCTACAATTTGATAACTATCTCGACATTTTAACCTGTATTCATATTTTAAAAATCTTGCCCGCCTAAACGGTACGTTTGATCAATGAATTGGCTATAAATCGTGGGTATCTTTGAGATTTGGAGAGATATTTTACCCACAATCTTTTCTCGCCAAGGCTAACATTCTCTGAAATATTGGTTGAAATCGAATAAAAAATAAAAAAAAAGGTTATTTTTAGGAGACAGAGGTCTCTCCTTATAAGATGAGAACATATAAGAAAAATTTGAACTAGCCATTAAACGTAAGATTAATCGAGGACAACCAACATCAGACCCTTTTTTCAGAATTCCTTAGCAACCAAAATGGAAGCTGAACCGCATTCAAGACAAGACTTAAACTATTCTAGAACCTTCCTTGAAATTTAAAAGGCTGCAATACATTTGTGAATGGTCTACATAGTTCAGCATTCGATTTTTATGCAGATCAAAATTGATATTCAAAATGTGAAGCATGATGAGTAATGATGTATTGATTGACCCCAGCCGTCATATGAAGAACACAAAAGTTGTAAACTGATCAACTTATCATTGTGGAAAATAAAAGTAGGTTGTGACTATCGGTGTGGTTGTGGCTATGACTTTGGATCATCTTTTCAAAAACAGTCACAAACACACACTAGATTCTGCGGATCTTCTTGCACTGTCACTCGGTTCTATGATCGAACATTTTGTTTCTATTGTCTTTTGCAATCATCAAATTATTGTTTGTCTTTTCTTGAAATTCCGCCAGTTAATAAGAATATTGGTTTCTGATCTTTTGTACTTTGTTCTCTTCTACTTTTGCTTGCCTTTGTTTGACAATAAGTTCAAAAGCTTCTATGTCTGCCTAAGATTAATCATGATCTTTCACTAGAAATAATCATGCATTCGATAGAAGTTTTAATTTTTCATCGGTTTTTTATTGATAAAGCATTACAACTGTATATTGAATTAAAGTTAAGTTTATTTGATTCAAAAAGAAAATTAGCCACGTCGACACATCATCTTTCGGCCTAATGTTTTCAGAAAATTGAGCAGAGCTTCACGAAACAGACTTCCTCCACATAATGTATAAATATAGAACGGTAGTCCACAAGACGAGTATAAAAACAGAAGAAATATATTAAAGAGAAAATTTTCGATAGCTCTCGCTAATGGAGTCTTAGGTGCAGTTCGGGTTATGGTTGTATAGATCTTATGCATAGAAAGTGGAACATTAAGTAGAAAGAGAAGAGAAACTTGAACCAATAGCATGATCAAAAGATGACGATCTGTTTTTCTTCGTTGAGTCGATTGTGCAGTGCTCTTCGTCGCTGCGCTGTGGCCGGTATTAGCTTCGGTTGTTCTACTTGTCGGTTGCAAACGAGATCGTGATTTACCTATATTCGAGATGGTCATCAGACCAAAAATGACCATCAATAGTAATGGTAATAGGATTGTAACCAGGGCAAAGAATAGATCTGATATAATGCCACACCACACTGATCTCGTATAACATTTGAGTGGAGTATTAGTAAGATTGGCTTCGAAGCAATAGAGTTGTTGTGTTTCAATAAGAGTTGAAACGATGACAATCACAATTGCACCGATTTGAGCATTCTTTAATGTACTTCTTCGTCGTTTATTAGCATCAATGTTCGATGAAAGCCATCGATCAACTGTTGCCAACATGATAAGCCAAGAGCCAATAGTGATTGCATTGAATAAGAGAAAAGCACGAAGTTTGCAAAGAAATTGATTTGTATTTGTTAGATCAAGAGACCAAGTTGATAATGGTCGAGAAGTAAGACCTGAAAGAATACCAATACCATTTGCAATCGATGAAGTAAGAAAGAGCCATGCACAAGGATTTGAACGAAGAGGTCGTTGTGATAAAACGCATGTATTGATGGTATTGCCGACAATACCAAAAATAATGATGAAAATTCCAAAGTAACGATTGAGTTGAGTTGAAGCATTGTTCAACGCAGCAATTAGATCTGCATCCGATGTTGACGACATTTGTTT